CGAGGTTTCATAGTAATAATATGATTAATAACAGGTACGGACAAGGATCCCGGATGGAACGGATACAGTGTTGCAATATCACGTTATTAAATTACTACAGTTAAATATAGAGTAGAAACGATTGAACATGCAAAGACAATAGTGATGGGGCAGTTAATTTGTATTTTTTATCAAGGCGTAACTGTGTTGTTGTATCTCCCGGTTCAACTTTTCAACCGTAAGGATCAGCTGTTTTTGAGATTAGCAAGAACAAACAGTCAGTTTTAACAAACAGTCAGTTTTACTCGCTGAGAACGATATAAATACGATACTTACACCAAAATAACATTTTTTACAATTTTTGTCTATCTGTTTGTTTGTTCCGGCTAATCTCTGAAATAGCTGGACCGATTTTGATGGGACTTTTCTTGGCAGGTAGCTGATGTCATAAGAACTAAGTTAAGCTACTTTATTGAAAAAAAATATTTATTTCGATTTAAAAAAAAATTAAATGCGACTCAGAAGCCGTAGGTAACAAAAGGTATAAGGTATCCACGTTACCTGTGAATTTATCTCCAGGCAAGTGGGGCTGTGTCTTCAGCCACTCTCTAAGTTTCTTAATATCCTCGGGCGATATATCTGGATTTTTCTCGTACTCCTTCTCTATAGGCAACTGTTGGACAACTCCTGCCATCTTCTCTTCTAGAATAACAATAAATAATAGTTAAATAGGTTTTAATATGAATCAGTTTATGCTACACTAGCTTTTGCCCGCGGCTTCGCTCGCATTAATTTAACCCCTTAGGGGTGGAATTAATCAAAATCCTTTCTTAGGGGATGCCTACGTCATACTCGTAGTAGCTTTATGCATGCAAAGTCTCAGCCCGATCGGTTTGAAATTGACAAAGTTTCATACAAACTTTCACTCCCTATTTTATACCCTTGAGGGTAGAATTAATCAAAACCCTTTCTTAACGGATGCCTACGTGATAACATCCACCTGCATGCTAAATTTCAGTCCGATCCGTCCAGTGGTTTGGGCTGTGTGTTGATAAATCACTATGTCAGTCACCTTTGAGTTATATATATTTAGATAAAGTTTTACTTATTTCGACAGTCAGCTCCTGACTACGGCTACAAAAATCAAAATGCCTAGAGAGGGCTGACGGAAATCCATATCTCTAACATAAAATAAATATCTTATATATATATATACATATTCGGAGGAGTATGGGAACGAAAACTGTGACACGAGAATTTTATATATAAGAAATATTTATACCAGTTGTCTAGTACTCACAACACAAACTTTGCTTAGCTTAAAACTAGATGATGATTAAATATTACGTCAAGTCGATCCCAAATGCAAGATGAATGTTAGAAATTATAAAGAATAAAACTCATATAATAACATATATGTATTATATATTTTGACGCTTCGCTTGTCATCTCAGGGTCGTGTCTCATTTAAATATAGTGATGTAGTGGAAATAATGACGAACATTTTACTTCAATCACAAATGATTATCTCTACTCATATCTGTACCTATATATATTGATAATAGAAAAATTATTAGTAATTGAAAATTATTATTATTTTCTGTTCAGCAGTCAAACAGATCGATACTATTGAAAATTATTATTATTTTCTGTTCAACAATCAGACAGATAGAGTTACTTCCGCATTTATAATATGCTATCTACTCGCCCCGGCTTCGCACGGGTGTACATGTATTATACATATAAACCTTCCTCTTGAATCACTCTATCAATTAAAAAAAACCGCTTCAAAATCCGTTGATTAGCTTTAAAGATTTAAGCAATACATAGTGACGGACAGACAGCGACAGCGACTTTGTTTTATACTATATAATGATATTAATATGGATAACTCACCTTATTGAATTAGACAATGACCATAGCAATAGTGAAAAGGAAAATAAAATAATAATAATATTATTGAACAATTCTGTTGTAGTTTTATTATATTTGTATATAGATAAAATGAGGAACAAGCATATGGCTTACCTAGGCCTATGCACGACAAAAATCTGCAGATTCTGCCAAACTGAAGAGGAAACGACACTACACATCCTATGTGGTTGTAGCCCACTCATGCATAAACGAAATATCTCCTTTGTAAAGTTTACAGTCTTTCCCGAGGAGATAAAAATGATCGCTCCGAAGAATATCCTTCAATCTTCAAATCTTGTTACTGACGGGTCTAGGTAGCAAACTTTGAAAAAGGACGAGCACAATGAATCTATGTAGGTCAAAGTGCTACAGGTTCAGGTATATGACAATAGCCCAAATAACCCAATAGGTAAAAGAAATAAAGACTTGGTATATGGAGAAAATATAGTATTGACAATAGAACAGAAGAGAAGTAACAAACAAGAATCTAAATATATAAAACTCAAAGGTGACTGACGTAGTGATCTATCAACGCACAGCCCAAACCACTGGACGGATCGGGCTGAAATTTGGCATGCAGGTAGATGTTATAACGTAAGCGTCCGCTAAGAAAGGATATTGATTAATTCTACCCCTAAGGAGATAAAATAGGGGCTGAAAATTTGTATGAAACTTTGTCAACTTTAAACCGATAGGGCTGAGACTTTGCATGCATAAAGCTATTATGACGTAGGCATCTTCTAAGAAAGGATTTTGATAAATTCCACCCCTAAGGGGATAAATTTACGCGAGCGAAGCCGCGGGCAAATGTAGTGTACAATAAAATAACTATAATTTTAAATACAAATTTAGAATATAAAATACACTTGTGATTAGCTAGTTACGACAAAATTCACACAGCGCCATCTAGTCCCAAGTTAAGCAGAGCTACTACTTTTTTTTGTAAATATATACATAGAAAACACCCGGACCGATACAAATAATCATACACATGAATACAAATTTGACGTTCATAATCGGCTAATGAGTCCTACATGAAAAATTTTTTTTTTAATTTGAAATTGAATTTGATATATGTAAATAAACTGGCACTGACAATTTTTTAATAAAATAGCTAATTAATAAAAAGCTAATTAATAAAATAGGTGAACCTGTATCGCGGGAGTCCACAAATGTATTTCCAGATTTCAGTAACTATTTGCATACAGATCAGTGAGTAGAGTGGATTTGACGTATCATAAGAGTCTTTTCAAATTCAAATTCAAAAATCATTTATTCATATAGGACATATTAGTCGCTAATGAACGTCAAATTTTTTACATTATAATTTTAATTTTTTCCCTACCGTCCAGTATATAGATCCAATTGAGAAGAACTGGCAAGAAACTCAATTGAGTGTTTTTATTTTGTTTAATTTTTATTTTAAAGCCAGTTTATTTACAATGTGTTACACTAAAACGTGGTAAGATGCCGTGATTTCACTAATTATATGTATATATAATAACCGCGTTAAATTAAAAAACAGTATATAACAAAAAAAATATAGAAAACTGTATCACTGATGTGATCAAGTGTTACAGGACAATAGGACATTAAATGTAGACATACAATCATAATTACTGCTCATTGTTTGAAACCAAATTGGCAATAAACATGATTGAAAATGAAAACAATAACATTATATAATGTGCACGTCATGGATTAGTGGTTACTACCCCGACTTCCACCGAAGAGGTTGTGAGTTCAACTCCGGCTGATAATGGCCATGGTGTGGTTTAGCTCGCCGCTTTACTTTCGATGCGGGTTCGATTCCTCGTACAAACATTTGTATTGATTTGTTTGATTGTTTCATGTCTGGATGACCTATAATAGACTTGGTGGTGTGGTTTCGCACAACGTTTAAATTTCAATGGTTGCGGGTTCGATTCCCTGTACAAACATTTGTATTGATTTGTTTGATTGTTTCATTTCTGGGTGTTTTCTATTTATATTAAGTAACTAGTACCCTTAACACATTTTTTGCTTAGTTTAGGAGTGGATGGCACTGTGTAAATTGTCCAAATATATTAGTATCATTACATAGTATTAAATAAAGTCGCTGTCGCTGTCTGACCGTCCCTATGTATGCTTAAATCTTTAAAAGGATCGCAAAGGATTTTGAAGCGGTTTTTTTTTGTAATAGATAGAGTGATTCAAGAGGTAGGTTTATACATGTACACCTAAGCAAAGCCGGGGCGAGTAGCTAATTATATTATTTACCGTTTGTATAACAATATGGAAGAGTAATTTTTCAAATGGATTTTTTTTTTTTTTTAATATTTCCAAATATCCGTATGTTTGGACATATAATCACTCTTCCATATATATTTGATCAATTATTAATATTTCAATGGATACATATATAAAACGTATATTATTTACTAGCCGTTTCCGCGACTCCGTCCGCGTGGAATCTAACTTTATTTTTCTAAAATAATGTTCCGGCTAATCTCTGAAATGGCTAGACCGTATTTGACGGGACTTTTATTGGCAGGTAGCTGATGTAATAAGGAAGAACTTAGACTACTTATATTTTAGAAAAATAAAGTTACTTTCCACGCAGACGTAATCGCGGGTACATCTAGTTTAATAATAATAGTAATATCTATCTCCTAGGTTGTCTGTTAGGTCTTGTTTTAAGCAATAAGGCAGCCTTTTAGTTTAGAACGTTTATGTAAAAGTGTATTTATAGGAAATACTTTCTGTGCACATTTTAAGTTAAATTAACATTATTATTATATTAATTCGGTTATAAAAAAAAATATTATGACTATTCAAAAAAGCTTAAATTAAGTTTATTTGAATAAATGATTTTCTATTCTATTCTATTCGGAAGTGGTATAAAATTTGTCATGTGGGCTAATCAGTGGTATAAAAAAACATATTACTAATATAATAAACACGAAAGATTGTAAGTATGGATGGATGAATGTTTATTACTCTGTCATGCAAAAACTACTAAACTTATTTGACCGAATCTTTACAGTAATATAGCTTATACATCAGAATAATTCATAAGCTATAATTTAAAAAGATATTATGTAAATTAGGCGACATATTATGATGACATGTCGGGTAAGTGTGATGTAGACGAAGGTACTCCGATCAGCTACTGCGTACTTTAAATTAAATAAGAAAAACTGCAAATAATAAAACAATTACCTTAATAATGACTCAATTTATCCAACTGCAAAATATATATGAATTAAAACACAAGTTTTTTTATAATAATCTACATAGAAATCACGATATTACTGTTAAACACTTGATATGATACAAATATGTACAGATAATACAGTTTGATAGTAAGTAGGTTTAATACACGAGTTTTTAATCTCAAGTTGACCAACAGACTGAGAAAATTCTTGTCCTTCATCGACTTGAAACTGCCTGTGCAAGTACTGATAATTAGTAGCTACCTATAACTAAACAGCTATAGCACAGATAAGATTATAAACGGCCTCGATGGTCTAGTGGTTTAGCACACAGCCTAACTTCCGATGGTCGCGGGTTCGATTCCTGGCACGGTGTAAACATTTCTATTCATGAGTATTATTGTTTGTAATAGTCTGGGTACTTACTATGTATAATATTTATGATTGTCGCAAAAAAATCTATGTACCCATAACACAAGCTTTAGCTAGCTTAACTTGAGTCTAGATGGCGTTGTGTGAATTGTTCTGAGATTATTATTATTATATTATAACTCACATTATCTAAAATTCTTTCCTATATATCGTTTCCTGGTCCCTGGCGGAAAGCATTCTTTATTTCCTAAAGTACCTGTACCTACTTAATAAATAATACATATTACCATCAACGGCAACCGTCCGCCATCTTGCCCAGCTAAAGCAGATTACAGCGACTACAACGCCATCTAGTTTGAGTGCGATAACCACCACAATATATTTTTATTTAATAAATATTATTTATGCTTAAACTGTAAAATAAATATATAAATAGTAAAGATTAAATCTAATTATAATTATGACATAAAATATATGTTCTACAAGTTTGTAATAATCATGTTTATTATTGAGTACAAGATATATGTACATAAGTTCTGATTTGACCATAACAGTCCCACCTGCCTAATGACTTTAAAACGAACCACCATATTGTGTGCACCTGATCGATCCCCCGTCCAATTCAAACAAGGACCGATGTTACGACGGCCTGAGCCCCTAGACTCTCACTCAGACTAAAGTCATATCCGTCAGGCGGGAGTTGGCCTTCAGCCGCTCCATAAGTCCTTCCCCGAGTTTGGAGTGCCATCTGTACTCGCCCCCTAGCGTCCGGTGAAGTTGAAAGGCCAGCTGCGGCCAACAGCATTAGAGTAGTCCAAAAAAAAAATGTGTGCACAGACCAGTTCGGTTTAGATGTTCGAAGTGAAAAATACATAAAAGTGAAAGAAGAAATTAATAATTGCTCGTTGCTGCTGCCGCCCCGTAACACAAGTTCTTGCTCGTTCTTCTTGTGATGAGACAGCTTTCCGAATGAGCGGTAGATTAAAAAAAATGTGACGACTATTTAAAAGTGCTTCAATTTAAGTTTATTCGAATAAATGATTTCCTATTCTATTCACATAATCATTTGAACCATATTTTATAACTGAATAAAGCATTTTCACTTAATTTTATTGGTTTATTGGGTATTTATACTTCGTGAGATTTATGTCGACCGCAAACGTATCAACAGTTTAAGATTTCACTGATAATTTCCATCAGTAATGACTGATGAATGCACCGCAATCGTCATTGCAAATACATAGAATAGAAAATCATTTATTCAAATAAACTTACATTGAAGCACTTTTGAATAGTCATTACATTTTTTAATCTACCGCTCGTTCGAAAAGCTGTCTCATCACAAGAAGAACGAGCAAGAAACTTGCGTGTTGCTCTTTTAAATAATTTTATTATTACTTTACATTTTTAAGTTTAAGTGTGTGAATACAAACCAACAATTAGCACTAATTCAATTAAATACTCAAATAGAAAAAATATTGAATATATAACCAACTGGTTAAACAATTAATATAAGTTTAAGAAGAAATTAATAGTCTCCCGTGACTGCTGTCGCCCCGTAACAAGCATAAATATGGGCCCTTCCCCATATCTTCCCAATAATCATCCACAGATAGACAACACCCACACAAATACAAACAGACATACTTAAGTATACAACATGTCTTGCTGGAATTGAACCCGCTACCGTTAGAAATAAGACAATATGTTTACACGCCACACCAGGAAGATCACGTAATACGAGTATATTACTGACAACTCTCAGTAATAATATTTTTGACAAGTATTTTGATTGGTGTGCATAACTAAACATAATGCAATGTATCTATATATATATATGTAGAAATGAATAAGGTTCTGCTTATTTTACAATACACTTTAAACGTAATTTCACGTAATATCAGTCAGTAATATGTTCGTATTTATATGTTTGCTTGTCTGTGTCACATTGATTTGGGTTTGGCGAAACAGGATATATATAAAGTTACATCGACAGATCGGAATTCAATACCCAGCTCTACCATTAATTGGACATGCATATATGTTTGTTGGAAATGGGGAAGGTACAGTTTATTTATTTATTGTAATACTAGCTGCACCCACGGTTTAACATGCATTAAATTTATAGTCTAGGTGTGTTGTAAAACTGTGTTAATTAAAAAAGAATTGTACAACACTACTTTGTTTCCCAAAACTGTATACTCTGTGTCTCTCTAGTTAAGTCTAAAATAGAAAACACAGGTAAAACTGTATATTGATCGATTAATTATAAAATAATAATAGTAAAAATATAACATGTACCTACTAGAACTTACCCGCGGCTTCGCTCGCATTGTGTCCATTACATAAGTATAGGACATCATTACAGTAATAATCAATATGAAGAATATACTTTATTAGAATACTGGCTACCCACCCCGGCTTCGCCCGGGTGTACATGTGTTATACATATAATCCTTCCTCTTGAATCACTCTATCTACTAAAAAAATCGCATTATAATCCGTTGCGTAGTTTTATAGATTTAAGCATACATAGGGACGGACAGACAGCGACAGCGACTTTGTTTTAAGCTGAAGCCTTGTGTCGCAGGAATCAGAAATCCTTATTTACAAAAACATGAACTTAAAACAAAATATGATTTAAAAATTTAATCATTAATTCCAGTATATCCTTTGGTATCTTATTGTACATTTTTATATCTATAATTATATTATCTAATAGATACTTTATCTAGAGAAAGTTACATTTTAACAGTTTCAAACATTATAATATAATGCATAACTGCTTTAAAAACATCTTTACTTCAAATATGTTGAATAAAACGTGATCCGTATAACAAATTGCATTCTCAAGTATCCAGGTCAAATTATTCGAAATAAAAACTGTACGGACGTCCAAGGTTCAGACGAGGATAAACGGTCTTTGACAATTTTGTAGCGTGATGGTTTGAATTTGTATTAATTGTAAACATTATATACACGAGACTAGAATAATGTTATTTAAGAGCTCCGAAAAATATTAAAATGTATAGACAGCTCCTACCCAGCCACTTGGTGGAATAACATTAAGAAAAAATTACGGGATCTTACCACATTTTATATTTATTTACTGTTCTGGCTACTTCGTCCACGTGGAATTTAACCTTATTTTTCTAAAATAAAAGTAGCCTAAAGAACTAAAAATTATTTTGTTCGTCTTAATTTATTCGTTACCATTTGATACTAATAGGTTCAAACTAATACATTTACATCATTTTATCCCCTTAGAGATGGAATTTATCAAAATCCTTTCTTAGGGGAAACCTATGTCGTAGTAACTTTATGCATGCAAAGTCTCAGCTCGTTCGGTTTAAAATTGACAAAGTTTCATACAAACTTTCATCCCCTATTTTAAAAAAATCCTTTCTTAACCTACGTCATAACATCTACCTGCATGCCAAATTTCAGCCCGATCCATCCAGTGGTTTGGGCTGTGCGTTGATAGATCACTATGTCAGTCACCTTTGAGTTATATATATTTTAGATCGAGTTCCTGATATTGCGGCAGTGTTTCAACCACCATGATCAGGAGTAAATCAGTGTTTACCCGTGATCATGACGGTTGAAAGAGCAACGCAGTTTCTTGCTCATTCTTCTTGTTATAAGTCTTAACTTACGAATAAGTGGTAGGATAAAAAAAATCACCATTGCCTTGCCGTTATACCATTATTTGTCGTCGGTGCAGTGTCATCTTATACTGATCCTTATCGGCCGTCATATCTGAGCTCACTCTTCTTTTATACATATCGTCTTTCACACAATCCATTCAACTTTTTTTGATCGTCCTCTCCTCTCCATCTACACGCACATTTTCATCCATACATGCTAAATATTTGAAATAGTTGTCCAAATCTTATTAATATTATAAACGCGACAGTTTGTATGGATGGATGTTGGTTATTCTTTCACGCAAAAACTACTGACCGGATTTTGATGAAACTTTATAGTAATATAACTTATACATCATAATAACAAATAGGCTATAATTTAAAAAGATATAATGTTAATTGAGTAAGTGCGATGCAGACGAAATCGCGCGGGTGAGGTAGTGAATAAAATAATTGCACGAAGGTAATAATAACTGACGGCCTCGGCGGTCTAGCGGTTTAGCACACTGCCTTACTTCCGATGGTCGCGGGTTCGATTCCTCGCACGGCACAAACATTTGTATTCATTAGTACGATTGTTTATATCGGTCTGGCTATTTCCTATGTATAATATGTATTTACGAAAAAATCTATGTATTTGTATCAGTTATCTAGTATCCATAACACAAGCGTTAGCTAGCTGAACTTCGGTCTAGAAGGCGCTGTGTGAATTGTCTTAAAAAAACCTTAAAAGTTTTTGTTTACAGCTAAATTATCAACCTTCAATGCATTGAGTGATATTGCTATGAAATTTAATGGCATTGTATCGCTCTGGTTGGGTGATCGATTTTCCCTCAGTAAGTACACACAAATTCTCTCTATAGAGTACAAACTTGTGGCGGCGGGTGGGCCGGGTACATATGATTGAGGGGGGCCTCAATCATATGTACCCGGCCCGCTCAGTCACATTTACACAGTAATGTGGATTGATGATCTTACTGCTAGAAATGTACCATGTCAGATTGTCCTTCACGCGGTTCCCCTGGAAACCATCGTGATAAATTCTTGGTGAATTTGTCACGATGAGCTAACTGTAATAATGTGGACTGATGATCTTATTGCTAGAAATGTACCATGTCAGATTGTCCTTCACGCGGTTCCCCTGGTAACCATCGTGATAAATTCTTGGTGAATATGTCACGATGAGCTAACTGACCTGACCTCATGCTCATCTTATCATCCTCCACTGGTGCTCCGTCAGCGTAAACCGTCAGCGAAGGTTGGAGCACCATTTCATTATTATGTATAAAAATATATGGTGGAGTGCAATGATGGCTGGCTCATCCGTCTTACTCGTGGACGCTGCATATGGGGACTGCTCTGTTCGGGTTACAAACACTGATTAGACTATTTGCTTTTAACAAAATTGCTATAACCATATGTTGGAGGTCATTGCATTCTCCCAAATTTAAATTTAAAAATTAATCTGTATTATTGTAAACATATATAATATTAATTTGAAAAGAATACGAGCTGAGTTTCTTGTCAGTTCTTCTCATCTCGCAATCATTCCGAACTGACGGTAGATTTGACATATCATAAGAGTCTGTAATAGACCTACATGACCAAAGAAAAAAAAAATGTATAGTCTCTTGTTTGAAAGAGAATGTACCTGCAATAATTAGTTTTCTAGTTTCCTATCAGTTCTTCTCATCTCGCAATCATTCCGAACTGACAGTAGATTTGACATATCATAAGAGTCTGTAATAGACCTACATGACCAAAGAAAAAAAAAAGTATTGTCTCTTTTTTGAAAGAGAATGTACCTGCAATAATTAGTTTTCTAGTTTCCTATCAGTCACCATTGCCTTCCCGTTATACTTCTCATCTCGCAATCATTCCGAACTGACAGTAGATTTGACGTATCATAAGAGTCTGTAATAAACCTACATGACTAAAGAAAAAAAATGTATTGTCTCTTGTTTGAAAGAAAATATACTTGCAATAATTAGTTTTCTAGTTTCCTATCAGTTCTTCTCATCTCGCAATCATTCCGAACTGACAGTAGATTTGACATATCATAAGAGTCTGTAATAAACCTACATGACTAAAGAAAAAAATGTATTGTCTCTTGTTTGAAAAGAATGTATGCAATAATTAGTTTTCTAGTTTCCTATCAGTTCTTCTCATCTCGCAATCATTCCGAACTGACAGTAAATTTGACATATCATTGCAGTCTGTAATAGACCTACATGATCAAAGAAAAAAAAATGTATGATCTCTTGTTTGAAAGATAATGTATCTGCAATAATTAGTTTTCTAGTTTCCTATCATTTCTTCTCATCTCGCAATCATTCCGAACTGACAGTGGATTTGACGTATCATAAGAGTCTGTAATAAACCTACATGACTAAAGAAAAAAAAATCTATTGTCTCTTGTTTGAAAGAAAATATACTTGCAATAATTAGTTTTCTAGTTTCCTATCAGTTCTTCTCATCTCGCAATCATTCCGAACTGACAGTAGATTTGACATATCATAAGAGTCTGTAATAGACCTACATGACCAAAGAAAAAAAAAAAGTATTGTCTCTTGTTTGAAAGAGAATGTACCTGCAATAATTAGTTTTCTAGTTTCCTATCAGTTCTTCTCATCTCGCAATCATTCCGAACTGACAGTAGATTTGACATATCATAAGAGTCTGTAATAGACCTACATGACCAAAGAAAAAAAAAAGTATTGTCTCTTTTTTGAAAGAGAATGTACCTGCAATAATTAGTTTTCTAGTTTCCTATCAGTTCTTCTCATCTCGCAATCATTCCGAACTGACAGTAGATTTGACGTATCATAAGAGTCTGTAATAAACCTACATGACTAAAGAAAAAAAAATGTATTGTCTCTTGTTTGAAAGAAAATATACTTGCAATAATTAGTTTTCTAGTTTCCTATCAGTTCTTCTCATCTCGCAATCATTCCGAACTGACAGTAGATTTGACATATCATAAGAGTCTGTAATAAACCTACATGACTAAAGATAAAAAAATGTATTGTCTCTTGTTTGAAAGAGAATGTACCTGCAATAATTAGTTTTCTAGTTTCCTATCAGTTCTTCTCATCTCGCAATCATTCCGAACTGACAGTAGATTTGACGTATCATAAGAGTCTGTAATAAACCTACATGACTAAAGAAAAAAAAATGTATTGTCTCTTGTTTGAAAGAGAATGTACCTGCAATAATTAGTTTTCTAGTTTCCTATCAGTTCTTCTCATCTCGCAATCATTCCGAACTGACAGTAAATTTGACATATCATTGCAGTCTGTAATAGACCTACATGATCAAAGAAAAAAAAAATGTATGATCTCTTGTTTGAAAGATAATGTATCTGCAATAATTAGTTTTCTAGTTTCCTATCATTTCTTCTCATCTCGCAATCATTCCGAACTGACAGTGGATTTGACGTATCATAAGAGTCTGTAATAAACCTACATGACTAAAGAAAAAAAAATCTATTGTCTCTTGTTTGAAAGAAAATATACTTGCAATAATTAGTTTTCTAGTTTCCTATCAGTTCTTCTCATCTCGCAATCATTCCGAACTGACAGTAGATTTGACATATCATAAGAGTCTGTAATAGACCTACATGACCAAAGAAAAAAAAAAGTATTGTCTCTTGTTTGAAAGAGAATGTACCTGCAATAATTAGTTTTCTAGTTTCCTATCAGTTCTTCTCATCTCGCAATCATTCCGAACTGACAGTAAATTTGACATATCATTGGAGTCTGTAATAGACCTACACGAACAAAGAAAATAATATAATGTCTCTTCTTTGAAAGATGAATGTTTTTCTTTCTGTCTTTACGTGTATTACATTTTCAGTTGTTGTCGACGCGGAAGCGGCCGAATTGGTTCTGGCCAATTGTCTTGAAAAGGATGAATTCAATCTATTCTTTAGGAAACTGCTCGGTAGCGGCTCTATTATGGCGCCAGGTGAGTATGACTACCAGCGATTATAACACACGGGACAAACGAGCATGCGGCTCACCTGATGGTAAGTGATTACCGCCGCCCATGAGCACCCGCAACACCAGGGGAATTGCAAGTACGTTGTCGGCCTTTTAAAAAGGAATAAGCTCTTTTCTTGAAGGTTTCAATATCGTATCGGTTCGGAAATACCCTTGCTGGAAGGTGATTCCACAATGTGGTTGTGCGTGGCAAAAAGTTTCTAGAAAACCGCACTGTGGAAGACCGCCATTCATCCAGATGATCAGGATGGTATTTTAGTTTCTGGCGGGTGGTACGGTGGTGAAACTCAGCGGCTGGTATTAATCCGAACAATTCCTCAAAACACTCCCCGATATATGCGGTAGAAAACACCCCGTCCGATCGATCCGGGGGATCGATCGCTGCTTTACCTCCGATCGATCCCCCGTCTTTCCCTCCGATCGTTCCCCGTCCAATTCAAACAGGGTTTGAAATTACGACAGCCTGAGCTGAAGATTCAAACCCTAGCGATGACCTCAGGCTAAACTCGCAGCTGAAAGCGACGTTGGGGTGGTCGTTAGAACACCTTGGAAAGACATTAACCTGGCTCTGGGGCCGCTCTTAAATAGGGTTGCAGAGGACAGAGCTGGAGGAGGCCTGTGCCAAAACTCACAGCGATTTGCGGGACATTTCGTAAACTACAGAATATACCACAATTTTGGGAAAAAAGGCTTTATTGCTATAGTATTAAAATTTGATTTTTTATTCTAAGTCGGAGATGATAAACCACTAGCTACGACGACGGCAGGAGTTGGCCTTCAGCCGCTCCGTAAGTTCTAAATTAATCCAATGTATTCTTTAGGAAACTACTCTGTAGTAGGTCTTGTTCTTCTTTTCTTCTTAATATCTCATAGTGTAGCGGTTTAACACCTTAGCTCCGCGGGTTCAATTCCTCGCACGGTACAAACAACATTTGCATTCAAGAGTATAGCTGTTTATATATATAGATAGATAGATAGATATATAGACCGATATAAACAGCTATACTCTTACGTTACTATACCTATATGTAATATGTATGTATTTAAAAAAAATATCTATACATTTATAAGTATCAGTTGTCTAATACCCATAACCCAAGCTCTGCTTAGCTTGGTACTACATGCTGTGTGAATTGTCCTGTAATATTATAATATGACTAGCTGTCACGGCAAACGTTGTTTTGCCTTAAAATAAAAAAATAAAATATAGGGGTGGACTACCCCTAACATTTAGGGGGATGAAAAATCAATGTTGGCCGATTCTCAGACCTACTCAATACGCTCACACAATTTCAAGAGAATCGGTCAAGCCGTTTCTGAGGAGTATGGGAACGAAAACAGTGACACGAGAATTTTATCTTATTAACTTACGCGATTACATTTTAGTTTCTGTGTGGCGACCACGACGCAAGCAGATGGCCCCATTTTTTGGAATAACAAACGCAAACCGGTCCCAAGATTCTCTTCTAAAACATAGTGACAACCTGGTGAAGCATCTGGAATCGATGGCAGATACCGAACCCTTCTCAATGTTCGATATATTTTATCCGTATGCATTTGACACCATCATGGGTGAGTATTTACTCAAGTCTATAGAATAGAATAGAAATAATCTATTTGCTTTTATTTATTTATTTACTAGCTACTCGCCCCGCCTTGCACGGGTGTACATGTATTATATATATAAACCTTCCTCTTCAATCACTCTATGTAATAAAAAAACCGCTTCAAAATCCGTTGCGTAGTTTTAAAGATTTAAGCATATATAGGGACGGACAGACAGCGACAGCAACTTTATTTTATACTATGTAATGATTTAGTCCACCTTTTGTACCAATTCTAATGACTTGGTACAAAAGTGTATAGTGGTATAGCATTCTCTCCCAGTCAACCTTAGAGATGTGCAGAGATACATGAATCCGGCTAATAGAATTAAAAAAGAATCATAATAAAAAAATACACATAAATACGTACATATATTAATAGAATTGAACTATTTTTTAATACAATATATACACTAAATACATACTTACATATTATATATAAACTAGCTTTTGCCCGCGGCTTCGCTCACGTTAATTTATCCCCTTAGGGATGGAATTTATCAAAATCCTTTCTTAGAGGATGCCTACGTCATAGTAGCTTTATGCATGCAAAGTCTCAGCCCGATAGGTTTAAAATTGACAAACGTTCATACAAACTTTCAACCCCTATTTTATCCCCTTGTGGGTAAAATTAATCAAAATTCTTTCTTAGCGGATGCCTACGTCATAAAATCTACCTGCATGCCAAATTTCAGCGCGATCCGTCCAGTGGTTTGGGCTGTGCATTTATATATCACTATATCAGTCAGTCACCTTTGAGTTATATATATTTAGATATATACATACATTAACAATTTATTCAAATATACTTAAAATAAGTACTTAATAATAGACATTTTTTTTATTCTACTTCTCACTCGGAACGCAGACTCATCACAAGAAGAATGGGCAAAAAAATCGCGTGTTGCTCTTTTAAATATATATTGTTCTAAGCACAGATAACATAATCTTAAATATTCTAAGTAAATGCACATTAACAAAGATGCTTATGGGCAGCGAGCAACAGGTAAAAGTGAGTTTTCTCCCGGTTGAAAACATCTATAATTTTTAATTTTTCGGACTGCTCTAATACTGTTGGCCGTAGCTGGCCTTTACAGCTTCACCGGACGATAGGAGGCGAGTGCAGATGGCACTCCAAACCGAAGGATTTATGGAGCGGCTGAAGGCCAACTCCCGCCTGACTGATACGACTTTAGTCTGAAGGTCCAAAGAATATCCTTCAATTCTTGTCCCTGACGGATCTAGGTAGCGAACTTTGATAAAGGGCGTGCACAATAAATATATGTGGGTCTTAGCACTTGATACTAGCCGAAAACCTTGTTAATAATGTGAACTGATCATATTGCTAGCAATGTACCATATCAGGTTGACCTCCACGCGGTTCCCCTGGAAACCATCGTGGTAAATTCTTGGTGAATTTGTCACGATGGGCTAACTGACCTGACCTCATGCTCATCTTATCATCCACCACTGGTGCCCCGCCAGCGTAAACCGTTAGCGCAGGCGGGTGCACCATTCCAATATCACACTTAAAAAAATGTGTATTTTGAAAATTGGTATTATTTTGCAGAACTAATACTGGGTCTCACACTAAACTCCCATGAAGAAGAAGACACCAGGGTGTTGAAAGCTGTACCGGACTGCTTCAATAGCGTAGCTTATTTCCTCTTCCAACCGTATCTCCAGTTCGAAATCATTTACAGCAGACTACCGATATGGGCGAAGTTCTTAAACGACAAACAAAACATTCAAAGATTAATCGCCAAAGTACGTAAACAATAATAATAACACTAGTCACACCAGTCACACAATGAGTACACACACACACACACACACACTCACACACACACACACACACACACACACACACACACACACACACACACACATACGCGCCCACGCACGCTCACACACACGCTGTAACAACAAGCCAAAGCTGAGAGACTGGGGCGATGGAGAGAATAATGCTGTATATAATAAATGCTGGAACAATTTACCACCCGCAAAAAATACTATTCAGTCAGTTTCGTCTTTTAAACATCATTTTAAAAAATTATTTACTAAAAGTACAAAAATCTTAAACGTGGCAGATAAATACAGTAGTTATATATACATATATATTGATTAAATAAATAAATATAATTCAATCTATATTATATTACACAAAAGTCTTTCTATCAACACTTTTTTATCCTTATATATTTGCCTTCTATATATCACACAAACTTATAATTCATCCATTAAACTGATTCTTCCTTTTTTAGATATTTAAATTCATCACGAATGCTATTTCTTTTTTTCAAGTGGCTCCACTGAAAATCAGCGCTGTAGTGACACGCTGCGGCACCAGCTGAGTGGAAGCCTTTTCAGCAGCGAATTATTAGTTTTTAAGTTTTCTTTTTTACTCTGTACTCTTTTTTATGCTGAATAAATGATTATTATTATTATTAATAATAATAATAATAATAACATAACATCAGTCACACAATAAGTACACACACACACTCACTCACACACACACACACACACACACACACATTGCACATACTTTGTTTTGGCCCATAAGTGTTGGGTAAGGCCCGCGTGTTTGAACGTATTAAAGCTGAACCAATTTAAATTAAATTTGGTACATAGATAGTCTGTTCAGGTTGTGAACACTGATTAATTTTTTTGTTCTTTGCGATAGCATATGCTGGTGGTCACTCTATTCTCTCAAATTTGAATTTTAATAACTGTATTTATCATAAATATGTTCCACTATTATTTGAAAAAAATACGAGCTGAGTTTCTTGTCAGTTCTTCTCATCTCGATATCATTCCGAACTGACGGTAGATTTGACATATCATAAGAGTCTGTAATAGACCTACATGAATAAATATATTTTGAATTTGAATTTGAATTTGAATCTAGGTCCTAAGTACATAGGCTACCTTTTAATGCGAAAAAAGGGTTGGTTCACTACTTATAGTGTCGAGACATTTTTCACTGTGTTTCTTGCCAGTTCTTCTCAATTGGATCTATATGCTGAACTGGACGGTAGGGTAACAATTATAATATAAAAAATTTGACGTTCAAAAGCGGCTAAAATGTCCTACACGAATAATTTATTTTTTTAATTTCAATTTTAAAGCGTGACAGATAGACAGATAGAGAAATATCGGTGACGTCACTCTCCAACAGAAGTGTAAATGTATTTTAATTAACATATAATTTATTTTTTAGGTAATGGCCTCTAAACAAAAGTTATATGATGGAAAAAATAACAACGTCGATGGTATGTGATGTTTTGATATTATGAAACGAATAATTCCTATATATGTATTTTTTAGATAAGTGTCAGACAAGCATACGGTCTCTCTGATGGTAAACGGTTACCATTTCCTATGGACGCCTTAAATACTAGGAGAGTCAGGTGTGCTCTGCCGACCCCTAAGAAACCTTAATATACCCTTTATAAAAATTATATACATGTTGTCCCGTTGGTCCACTACTTACGGGACAATCTGTATAACTACCCTTACTAATATTACAAATGCGAAAGTAAATCTGTCTGTCTGTCTGTTTCGCTTTCTCGCCAAACCTGCAGAATCTAAAAATGAAATTTATTGCACAGATAGTCTTGAACCTGAGAAACATACATACGCTACTTTTTAATGCGAACAAGGGTTTTAGGGGGTTGAAAAGGGTGATTAAAAGTTATATGGAAGTTTCGCCATTTTAAAAGTTAGAAGGTTCAAACTCATTTTCTAGGCTGTTGATTAATATAATTCATCTCTCCCCTTTCAACCCCTTACGGGTTGTAAGGGGTTGAAAGGGAAGAAAAAAGGTTGTACGGAAATATCGTTATTTTAAACATGGAAGCTTGAAACTTATTTTTAATTTGTTGATCAAATATGACAATCTAACTGTACTACTATCTGTACCAAATTTCATTTAAATCGTTTCAGTAGTTTTGACGTGAAAACGAAACAGACAGACAGAGTTACTTTCGCATTCATAATATTATTAAGTTTTTTAATCATTAACATTTAATTTTTTACTATTTTACAGCAAATATTTCATTGAAATCACTTGTCGATTTCCTGTACTCATCGCCTGATGATAAAAAATTCTCAATTGATGAGATACGAGAGGAATTGTTCGTGATGCTGTTCGGCAGTACTATTCTACCGTGCGTTTCATTATGCTTCACATGCATGATGCTGGCGAAGTATCCAGATGTACAGGAGAAACTTATTCGAGAGTGCGTACCAAACAGTTTTTATTTTATTGAAGACACAGGGTGTACATGTATATAAACCTTCCTCTTGAATCACTCTATCTATTAAGAAAACAGCTTCAAAATCCGTTGCGTAGTTATAAAGATTTAAGCATACATAGGGACGGACAGACAGCGACAGCGACTTTGTTTTATACTATGTAGTGATTTACAAATATTCCATCATATCATAAGCATTACACCCCTTACAAATGTCTATTAAGAGCTGAGATATTCTCCTATACTTGACGACCTTGGTGGTCTAGCGGTTTAGCGCACCGCTTTACGTCCGATAGTCACCGGTTCGATTCCTCGCACGGCACAAACATTTGTATTCATGAGTATGATTGTTTGTATCGGTCTGGGTGTTTTCTATTTATAATATGTGTGTATTTACGAAAAAAAAATTATGTATGTATTTGTATTACTTATCTAGTACAAATGTTTATACACTGTATTTATTTATTATTTAGTAGCTAGTGCTACTCGCCCCGACTTCGCACGGGTGTACATGTATTATATAAACCTTCCTTTGAATCACTCTATCTATTAAAAAGAACCGATTCAAAGTCCGTTGCGTAGTTTTAAAGATTTAAGCATACTTAGGGAAATAGGGACGGACAGACAGCGACTTTATTTTATACTATGTTGATGATGATGTTGATGGTGATGATGATGATGATGACGACGACGATGATGATGATGATGATGATGATGATGATGATGACTTCTCAGGTTAGATGAAGAAAGTAGTCGTTACGAAAAAGGATTAACAAAAAGCAGACCGCATGAGAACAAATATTTGGAGGCGGTCATTAAGGAGACTTTTCGACTCTACCCATCAGTCCCTACTGTGTCCAGGAAAATCGATAAAGATATCGAGATGCGTGAGTATTCGATTTTCCATAACTTTGACGGCCTCACTGATGTAGCGGATAGCACACCGGTTTATTTATTACTCGGTAGCGGGTTCAATTCGCACAGTAGAAATATTTGTATATTATACTAGCTACTCGCCCCGGCTTCGCCCGGGTGTACATGTATTATATATATATAAACCTTCCTATAGAATCACTCTATCTATAATGAGAAATCACATCAAAATCCGTTGCGTAGTTTTAAATATTTTAGCATACATAGGGACGGACAGACAGCGACAGCGACTTTGTTTTATACTATGTAATGATATGTATTTACAAAAGAAATATTTAATTACTAGCTGTTCCCGCGACTTCGTCCGCGTGGAATTTAACTGAATTTTTCTAAAATAAAATTATCCTAAGTTACTCGTTATTACATCAGTTACCTTCCAAAGAAGGTTCCGTCAAAATCGGTCCATCCATTTCAGAGATTAGCCGGAACAAACAGACCGACAAACAGACAAAAATTGTAAAAAGTGGTTTTTTGGTGTATGTACCATATTTATATTCGTATGCATGTAGTCAAAAACGGTTATTTCAATATTACAAACAGACACTCCAATTTTATTTATATGTATAGATTTAGATCAGTTACCTAGTTATGTAATGTTATGTTATCTGTGCTAGTAATCATAACACGAGCTCTGCTTCGCTTGGGCCTAGATGGCGCTATGTTAATTGTCCTGAGATGTTATCATCATTGAATGCCTTGATGTCCAGCTGTTTTACTTGTACTTACTTGGTACATACATTTGTACTCATCAGTTCACCAGTTTTTACTCATCGTTTTTATAGGTCTGGGTGTTTTCTATGTGTTCAAAATCTACCCTGTATCATCGTAAGCACAGATTATTATATTAGAGCCCGTTAGTTTCTGTTCCCGCGCTTTGCCTTCCCCTCCCTTACCCAGTACTGAACTGACCGTACAGCGGCCTTGACGCGCGCGCGCTTTGTGTTGTAAATTAAAATAAATTAGAACTGTGTTAAACCTACTGTGAAACTGGAAAGCTAGCGAAGATATCTTCGAGACCCTGAAGCCCAAGAAATCCGCAGAACCATACAGGTACGAGACAGACGCTTCCACATATTTTTCCCTATATATATACATAGTACTTTCCCTAACATTTTGGTAGCAGAGAGTATTTTCCCTAACACTATGTATATTGTATATATGTTAAAAATATATAAAAGTATTTCTATCATCTGTCTGTCAATGTATTGTGAATATGTTAAAAAAATTATTAGAGTTTTCTATCATCATCTATCGACGACGTCGGTGGGCTAGCGGTCAAGCACCGCTTTACGTCCGATGGTGGCGGGTTCGATTCCTCGCACGACACAAACATTTGTATTCATGACTATGATTGTTTGTATCGGTCTGGGTGTTTTCTATGTATATATTGTATGTATTTACAAAAAAAAATATCTATGTACTTGTATCAGTTATCTAGTACCCGTAACACAAGCTTTAGCTAGCTTAACTTGGGACTAGATGGCGCTGTGTGAATTGTCCTGAGATTATTATTATTATTATTATATTATATCAGTTTTCTGTCAATATCTTGGGATATTGTAATTGTTGTAAGGGTTATTAATATAGGATATGGGTGGCACTTAGTTATTGTGTTTAAACCAAACTCAATTTAATAAAGAGTTTTGACCGACAACAACAATAGTAATTGAAGGCCTCGGTGGTCCAGCGGTTTAGGGCACCGCTTTACTGTCGATGGTCGCGGGTTCGATTCCTCGCACGGTGCAAACATTGGTATTAATGTCGGATCAGACACAAGGTCTTAAGTTAGGTTAAGCTGTACATATACAAGACTAGCTGTGTCCGCGATTTCATCCGCATGAAATTTATAGCCTATATGTTATTCTGGTGTATAAGCTATATTACTGTAAAGTTTAAACAAAAACGGGTTCAGTAGTTTTTGCGTGAAAGAGTAACAAACATACATCCATACTCACAAACTTTCGCGTTTATATATTTCGCGGGTTCGATTCCTCGCACGGTACAGACATTTGTATTTATGATTGCTGATCTTGGGTGTTTTCTCTGTATATATTTTTCTTATGGATGATAATGGAATGGTTCACCCACTTGCGCTAACGGTTTACACCGGCGGGGCACCAGTGGAGGATGATAAGATGAGCATGAGGTCAGATCAGTTAGAACGTCGTGACAAATTCGCCAAGAGTTTATCACGATAGTTTCCAGGAGGAACCGCGTGGAGGTCAACCTGACATGGTACATTGTTTGCAATAGGCTCAGTCCCCATTATTAACAATTCCCGTCGCCCCGGCAGTTGATTATAAAGTGCAACACATGGGAGCTATCACGGGCACATGATGACGTGATGTCTTCTCTCCTGTTCATATACAGACGGTCATAATCACCATTTACCACCAAAGGAACCGTCAACATATTTGTCATTCTGGTAATTAAAAAAAATAAAAGCTTTCCTAATTTACGTATTTACAAATATTAACATATAGTAATAGACAGACAGCTGTCCAAACAGTAAATACATTTTGTAATATAATATAGGTAAATGCGTCTGTGACATGCCTGTCAGAAATTTGCATATCACCCAAAGAAAAAATCTACATGTATGTACGCAAAATATGTATTTCGACTTTGAACATTAATAATATTACGCCGTGTGTTTCTGGAATAACAATTAAACTCATTTTCATCCCGAGACAGCAACGTGACGCAAAAGAAAAAAAAATACATATGTAATTAATCTCTCGCACCCACAGAGCTGTTAGCTATGACTCAGTGATTCACTATACTTACTTCTAAAACTCAAGAGATCAATTCCAATTTGGCCAACATCATAAAAAAATGTTAAGATGAATAAATATTTCTTTTAATTTTCTTTCTTTCGTGAGAAATCTTTACCTTTCGTAAGGGGGCGGCCATAAACTATGTGAGGAGTTTTTTTTAATTTTCTGTAATGGTGAGATGTCGTGAGATTTTATCCCACATCCCCCAATCTCACGAGAGTTTTTCAAAATTAAAAAAAAAATTGTTTTGTGCAAATAATAGCACAAACCAATATTTTTTTTTAATTTTGAAAAACTCTCGTGACATTGGGGGATGTGGGATAAACTACTAGTTCAGACTAGTAATCAGTTGAGAGTTATAAGTGTAATAACCATGTGCCATGTGGATTAAATGGACCAATGATAATGGATATTATATTATATGAAGTGATATTATTTTATTTTCGTTCTACGTTTAGTCACAAAATAAAACATCTGAATGCACCGTGAATTTTTGCCTTTTTTATTTATTTGCTAATACATATAAATAAAATTGGAGTGTCTCTTTGTAATATTGAAATAACCGTTTTTTACTACATGCATATGAATATAAATACGGTACATACACCAAAATAACATTTTTTTACAATTTATGTCTCTGAAATGGCTGGACCGATTTTGACGGTCTTTTTTTGGCAGGTAGCTGATGTAATAGAAGTAACTTAGGCTATTTTTATTTCAGAAAAATAAAGTTAAATTCCACGCGGACGAAGTTGCACGTATAACTAGTTATATATATATAAAACTACTAATGACAAATAGCACATGTTATCTATTGCATTCACATACTTCAACTTAAAATGTAAAGTAACAATGAAATTATTTAAAAGAGCAACACGCAAGTTTCTCGCTCGTTCTTCTTGTGATGAAACAGATTTTCTTGTGATGAGACAGCTTTCCGAATAAGCGGTAGATTTAAAAAAATGTTGACTATTCGAAAGTGCTTATATTAAGTTTATTTGAATAAATGATTTTCTATTCTATTCTATTCTATAATTTGTGGGAAATCTGGAGCCGAAACTAAGCTATAGCCTGTACCTTAGACACCAGGTCTCCCCTTCATATAAATTTGTTTTAAGTGTGTGCGCCTCTGTGTGTGTGTGTATGTGTGTATGTGTGTATGTGTGTGAAACTATAGAACTAATATATGTTAAACCGTCTGGTTTAACATATATTAGTTCTACAGTTTTCTATGGTTTATATCGATATGTAAAACCACATTTAATCAATAAATTTCATTTCATTCCAGCATCAGGTACAGTCCTGCCCGCTGGAGCAGCCTGTTTCATCAGCATATGGGGAATACATCGAAATCCTAAATATTGGGGTCCGGATGCAGACTCCTTCAGACCTGAACGATTCTTCGATAGTCCACCGAAACACCCGGCTACTCTGATGCCTTTTAGTTATAAATCTAGAGGTTGTATTGGTAAGTTATAGACACTCGACAATTAAGACAGAACCAGCAAGTCCCATGCTAAGCATAGCTAGTGTTATGGGTAGTAAAGAACTATTAGATATACTTAGATATATTTAACCAGCAAGTCCCATGCTAAGCATAGCTAGTGTTAGGGGTAATAAAGAACTATTAGATATACTTAGATATATTTAACCAGCAAGTCCCATGCTAAGCATAGCTATATTAGATATACTTAGATATATTTAACCAGCAAGTCCCATGCTAAGCATAGCTAGTGTTAGGGATAATAAAGAACTATTAGATATACTTAGATATATTTAACCAGCAAGTCCCATGCTAAGCATAGCTAGTGTTAGGGGTAATAAAGAACTATTAGATATACTTAGATATATTTAACCAGCAAGTCCCATGCTAAGCATAGCTAGTGTTAGGGGTAATAAAGAACTATTAGATATACTTAGATATATTTAACCAGCAAGTCCCATGCTAAGCATAGCTAGTGTTAGGGGTAGTAAAGAACTATTAGATATACTTAGATATATTTAACCAGCAAGTCCCATGCTAAGCATAGCTAGTGTTATGGGTAGTAAAGAACTATTAGATATACTTAGATATATTTAACCAGCAAGTCCCATGCTAAACATAGCTAGTGTTATGGGTACTAGAGAACTAGATATACTTAGATATATTTTTTTGTAAATACATACATAATTTACACTCAAGGGGAAAGTGGATTGTTAGTAATGTGTCTGATGCCTTTTAGTTATAAATCTAGAGGTTGTATTGGTAAGTTATAGACACTCGACAATTAAGACAGAACCAGCAAGTCCCATGCTAAGCATAGCTAGTGTTATGGGTACTAGAGAACTATTAGATATACTTAGATATATATTTTGTAAATACATACATAATTTACACTCAAGGGGAAAGTGGATTGTTAGTAATGTGGACTGATGATCTTATTGCCAGCAAAAGTTTGTAGTATGGATAAATTATGTTTGTCACGATGGCCTAACTGGCCTGACCTCATTCATCCTCCACTGGTGCAAAAACTACTGAACCATTCCATTATCATCCATAAGTATATACATAGAAAACACACAAGACCAACAATCATAAATACAAATGTTTAAACTTTATATAAACGCGAAAGTTTGTAATATGGATGTATGTATACACAAAAACTACTGAATTTTTGTTTAAACATATAGCTTATACATCAGAATAACATATAGGCTATAAATTTCATACGCGTGAAATCGCGGGCACAGCTAGTCTTGTATATGTACAGCTTAACCTAACTTAAGACCTTGTGTCTGATCCGACATTAATACCAATGTTTGCACCGTGCGAGGAATCGAACCCGCGACCATCGGCAGTAAAGCGGTGCCCTAAACCACTGGACCATCGAGGCCTTCAATTATTGCTATTATTGTTGTCGGTCAAAACTCTTTATTAGACTGAGTTTGGTATAAAAAAATATGTAATAAAATTCTTAATAGAAAATATATGTAAATATTAATTATAAAACTATGTACGTCATACTCGTGAACGAGTGCTGCTTGTAAGGACTGATCTACTTAATATCTGACCCTAATAAATTAGTGCTAGTTGGTGGTTTGTATTCGCAGGTTCGAATTGGAAATGTAAAGTTACAATGATTATTTAAAAGAGCAACACGCAAGTTTCTTGCTCGTTCTTCTTGTGATGAGAAAGCTTTCCGAATGAGCGATAGATTTAAAAAAAAGGTTACGACTATTCAAAAATGCTTAAATTACGTTTATTTGAATAAATGATTTTCTATTCTATTCTACACGGCTCGCAAAAACTTTCGTTGTCTTTATTTGACATTTTATTTACATCATTATTGTTACAGGAATGCACTTTGGTATGTTATCATTAAAAGTGATACTAGCATCTCTGCTCAAGGAGTACAGATTTCTCCCGAACACCACGACTGATGCGCCTGTACGACCTCTCTACGATATTATACTCAAAGATGCTGACAATTACATGATTAGATTGAAACGTAGGGATAGAATACAGCAATGAAAACGAAGTATATATATATATATATATGTATAACTCTTTATTCATGTGGAATAATTACAAAAATAATATAAATTGTCATATATTACTAAATCACCCTATATTGTTTCAATAAGTACATTAAAATCACTATTAAAAAATAGGGGTTAATGGTAGAAGCACAGATAATATAATATTACATAAGAAGTGTGAAAAATTGAGGTTGTATGTATTTTTACTGCTACATAATAAAAAATTGTCGACAAACTCAATAATATTTTTTTGGGGTGAGCCATCCTTAACATTTGGAGTATAAAAATTAGTTCTAAACCTATTCTCAGACCTACTGAATATACAAATAAAATATGTTCAAAATCGGTCAATCCATTTCAGAGGAGTATAAACACGAAACCTATGACACGAAAATTTTATACATTAGATTAGCTATTCCCCTCGGCTTCGCACGGTTATACATATATTATACATATAAACCTTCCTCTTTAATCACTCTATCTATTAAAAAAAACCCGCTTCAAAATCCGTTGCGTAGTTTTAAAGATTTAAGCATATATAGAGACGGACAGATAGTGAGTGAGTTATACTATGTAATGAAGATGATTAACTAAATATATCTTTCTTTTTTTTATATTCATTTATTTTCATATATTTCATTATATTCAATTTATATTGTTTGAAATTATATAGTGCAATATCTTAGACAACTAACGCCATCTATCTCGTAACGTTGCAATTAAAACTATCGTCATTATTATGTGGATTTATTATCATTTATTTTCATATATATCATTATATTCAATTTATGTATATTGTTTCAAATTATACACTGCAATATATTAGACAAGTAACGCCATCTATTTCGTAATGTAGTAATTAAAAACTACTGTCATTATTACGTGGATTGTAAATTCATATTGTTTCAAATTATGCAGTGCAATATTTTAGGCAAGTAACGCCATCTATTTCGTAATGTAGTAATTAAAAACTATTGTCATTATTATGTGGATTGTAAATTCATATTGTTTCAAATTATACAATGCAATATTTTATTATATATAACTAACGCCATCTATCTAGTAACGTTGTAATTAAAACTATCATCATTATTATGTGGATTGTAAATTCATATTGTTTCAAATTATACAATGCAATATCTTAGACAACTAACGCCATCTATTTCGTAATGTAGTAATTAAAAACTATTGTCATTATTATGTGCATTGTAAATTCATAAATGAGATGCATGTCTTGCTTTTGCTACAATTGTGTATTATTGTTGGATGTTTATATACTACACTAGCTGTTCCTGGCCGTGATTTCGTCCGCGTGTAATTTAACTTTAATTAAAGAAAAAAGAAGTAGCCTAAGTTACTCCTTATTACATCAGCTACATGCCAAAGAAAGTCCCGTCCAAATCAGTCCAGCCATTTCAGAGATTAGCCGGAACAGACATACATAGAGACAAAAATTGTAAAAAATGTCATTTTGGTGTATGTACCGTATTTATATTCATATGCATGTAGTAAAAAACAGTTATTTTAATATTACAAACAGACATTCCAGTTTTATTTAGGTGTATAGATTTATTTTTAAACTACCTATAGATAAACCTATACAGATATATTATATAGAAAAAAATATTAAATAGTTATATACGATACTAGCTTTTGCCCGCGGCTTCGCTCGCGTTATTGTATCCTCTTAGGGATGGAATTCATCAAAATCCTTTCTTCTTCTTCCTCCATAAAGCTACTATGACGTGGGATGCCTACGTCATAGTAGCTTTATGCATGCAAAGTCTCAGCCCGATCGGTTTGAAATTGACAAAGTTTCATACAAACTTTCATCCAATATTTTATCCCCTTGGGGGTAGAATTAATCAAAATCCTTTCTTAGCGGATGCCTACGTCATAACATCTACCTGCATGCCAAATTTCAGCCCGATCCGTCGAGTGGTTTGGGCTGTGCGTTGATAGATCACTATGTCAGTAACCTTTGAGTTATATATATATATAGAAGATATTACTAACACTATTACTACAGGCGCTAAATAATAAGTAAGTAAAGTGAGATACACTTAAGTTGTTTTTTTTTTGAGGAATCGAACCCGCGACCATTGAAAGTACAGCAGTGTGCTACACCACTAAACCACTGAGACCTTCAATAAATGTATTTATAGTACTCCAGCGTACTACGTAAGTACAATGTAATTATCTTGTACTAAGCCCGTCTCAATGAAAACGAGAGTGGCGCAACTCGTCTGATGGCATCGCTATACAGCAATAAGCACAATAGGGATGGGAATATATCGATATCGATAGTTTCGACTGTTAGAAAAATACACTAGTTATTTTTAAACTTTTTGTTTGTTTGTTTGTAACACTTTATTGCACAATAAATACATTTAAATTAACTACAGACTACTATTTTATTTTTATTATTCTATTTTTTTTTGTAAATACTCTCTTTCCAAAGTTTGTCTGTAAGAGATTGCATTAGCGATAAGACCGCCTTTTGTACTTAGTGTTTTTTGTTTGTTTTTAATTTTGTTCATGTCCTTTATATGTTGGTGCAATAAAGTGTTATAATTAATTTAATTAATTAATTAATTAATTAATTAAAGATACAACGATTTAAAAAAGAAATATATAAGATGTACAATGACGGACTTATACCAAATGAGGGATTTCTTCCAGTCAACCTTTGAATGACTGAAAGGAATTGTGGAGTGGTGGAAATATACATATATACATGACAATGACAACAAAGGAAAAAGAAGCAAACGCATTATATAACCATAATATATAACAACTAGAATATTAAATAAATATTTAAGTATAATATATAAATACATATACCTAGATATATATAAAATAACAAATGTATAAATAGTAACAGCAGAAATATATAAAAAACAATACTACTATATAAAAAAATATGAAGGATACTAAAACAGCGCATCTGCAGTGTGACTCCAAAGTTTTTTAAGGCGAGCCTTAACTTTTGTATTTAATATACATTATCTATATTATTAACCGGGTCTTAAAACAAATAATTTTTTGGCAAATAAAAGGACCGTGAGTACTGTGTGTCGCGAACTTTCGTTCAACAATCTAGTGACGGTAGATGAAAAAACTGCTGTCACCTATCTACATTGACATCGCTGTTACTCCAGTCGGCTCGTGACCACGGCTAGTGCAACCTAGTCGAAACGTCGAGAGAGGTAAATACCTTTATTTGCCATAAAATTATTCGTGTTAAGACCCAGTTAATAATATAAATAATGTAGGAACATACACTACCAACCTGTCTAGTTTACAAACGAGTTTATTATTATAAATAAAAGATTATTTAAAAGAGCAACACACAAGTTTCTTGCTCGTTCTTCTTAGATTAGATTAAAAGAGTGATAACTATGTTTATTTGAATAAAAAAATCTGTTTTACTAAAGATTAAAAGAATAGGGTTGAGTTTGAGAGATTAGTATGAGTTGAGTATGAGTTTTGAGAAACAAATTAAATAATTTGTTTATTCACTACAATCTAAAACTGAACTCTTTCCTCTTTATATTGCTAGTTTTAAATAAGTTTAGTGAAAATCATTACATAGTATAAAACTAAGTCGCTGTCGCTGTCTGTCCCTATGTATGCTTAAATCTTTAAAACTATGCAACGGATTTTGAAGTGTTTTTTAATAGATAGAGTGTTTCAACAGGAAGGTTTATATATATAATACATGTACACCCGTGCGAAGCCGGGGCGAGTAGCTAGTATTAAACAAATATCAAGCACAACATGATTAAATTTATATTTTATATTATATTTAATGTCAAATGTTAAATTCAAATAGGATATACTAGTAATCACTACATTGTGCCTTATTGAATTTAAAATTGAATCTATTTTTGTAATCATATACAAGCTCATTTGATCATAAGAGCTGAGTTTCTTTTCCGTCTTTATTAGGTCGAGAACTGGTTGTCTGTTTGACTATTTAAATAAAGACATTAAATAAAGACATACATTTATCGCCACCTCCTACGACAGCCTTCCTCATAAGACATTCAGCCTACTAATTTATATTTATTTTAATTTATTCAGCATATTAATTACGCTAAGCAGCTTAATGTTCGGTTTTGTTTAAAGATTTTCTCTGTAGTGTTGTACTCAAATTCAAATTCAAGATATCTTTATTCATGTAGGTCTATTACAGACTCTATATATGTCAAATCTACGTTCAGTTCGGAACGATTTCGAGATGAGAAGAACTGACTAGGAACTCAGCTTGTATTCTTTACAAATAAATGTTGTACATGTTTACAATAATACAGATTCATTTAAATTCAAATGTGGGAGAATAGAGTGACCACCAGCATATGGTATTACAAAAATAAGATGTTATATTAATTAATAATATTATATATTATAATATTTTTTTTTTTATTTAAATAACTTTAATGCACGTCATACTTTTACAGGTAAAAAGTTTATATATCACACAGAGTTATTGTCTTCAACTAAAGCCGTCCATTGTACCCGTGTTGTAGGATTATATTTTTTACATATATTCTTTTACTGAAAAAACTGCTCTATATATACCACACAGAGAAAAAATTGCCACTCAGCGATAAGGCCGCCCATTGTTACCTTTGTGTTGTATTGTAATTATATTTTTTTGAACGAACCCTGGATATGTAAATAATTTTTCATTCATAACAGATGAATGAAAAATTATTTACATCCGGGGAATACGTTAAATTCCATAATTTTAACTGTTACTGATGTATGTAATTACCATCTGACACACCGATCTATCGATAAGACGTTTCATATATGTTTATCGATATATATTTTATCGACACAATCACTACACTAAAGACGTGATTGTCGTCGAAACCGAAAGTGATGCGCCATGGGAATCGTGTCAGTCGATGTCGATAGTTCTAAAGCTATGCCTGCTTTATAATGATCAGATTTGGTAAAAATGTCATTGTCTGAATACACTTAGA